AATATCTAAACATTTCCCTCCTTAACCGACTGTTGACTTGGCTTACGCTGCCTTTCCCTCTCCTAGCATATGTAAGGATAATTGGGGGCCTATCAAACTCTCATACTTGAGTTGACTCATATGTTGGCATATGTGTTGACATGTGTCAACTCATGAATATTTATGTGCTAAAAAGTTTTGTATTTTATAAGAATTCTAAAAAGTTTTGTATTTTATAAAAATTCTAAATATTTAATATAAAATAAAACCAGTGTTTTAAAAGGTGTAGGAGGCGTACACCTGGAGGTGCTCCCAAAACACCCTGAGGCGTATGCCAGAGGCGCTGACAGCTCTAAGGCGTACGCCTCAGGTGCAAGAGGTGTATGCCTCTTGTGCTTTTTTTATGAGGCGTGCTAGAGGCGTATGCCTCATACGCTCATGCACATCTGATATAAAAAGATAGAAAAAAAGAAAAAAGAAAAAAGAAAAAAAAAGGAAAGGAGAGGAAAGGAAAAGAAAGGAAAGGGAAAGAAAAAGAAGGAGAAGAAAAAAAGAGAAAAGAAAAGGAAAGGAAAGGGAAGGGAAGAAAAGATAAGGGGAAAGAAAGTGGTTTGCCCCCTGCCCCATCGGCTGGGGGGCTTCGCCCCCCAGACCCCCCCGCTCACTTGCCTCCGCTTCGACAAGACCCCCCCTTTCAACTAATGTTATGCGTCTTTATTCTTCTTAATATAAAGATTTTTATTAAAAATAAAGAAAAAAAATGAGATCCCCCCTTCCTCTTCATCCTCCTCCTAACTCCCCTCCTCTTAAGGAGGCTTATGCTTCCTTGTGTTCAGAAGGCTTACGCCTCTTGCGTTCTGAACTACGCTTCATGCCTCTAGGTAGTAGAATGCCTTGCGTCACGCCTCCGCGTTTTAAAACATTGAATAAAACATATGTGCATATATAACATATAAGATATATAATATTAAGCATATATATACTTTATTATATGATGCATAATATTATATTATATAAAACTTTAAGTGTAAGGCCCAAGCTTGGCCTAGAATTTTTTGGGTTTAATGCAGGCCTGGCCCAGGCTGGGCTTGCACACAAAAACCTGGGCCCAGGCTCAGAAATTTGTGGTGAGGGCCGGGTCGGGCTAAGAATGATCACCCCTACCAACACCCATGGTCAGGTTGAGATTAATGATCAAAAAGAGAAAGAGATGGAGAAAATTGAAGAAATCTAGGTGCAAGATGCAAATGTGTTGTAGAATATCTTGGTAAGGAAGTAAGTTATGACTTTACCTTACAAGTTTAATTGGACTTAATTCAAGAATTACAAAGCTCACACAATACAAATTCCACCAATATCATAGAGATGGAGATTTCTCAACTAGATATTGAAGGAAAAGTTCCAAATGCTGCAATTGAGATATTGCATATGATAATTCGTAGTGTTTTAAAAGTGCAAGGGGCAATTTGCGCCTGAGGCACAAGGCGCAAGAATACAAAAATACAAAAAATGCCAAAAACAAGTCACAAAATTGAAAAAATGCCAAAAAAGTTAAAAAAAAAGCAAAAAATAAACATAATATTAATAAAAAATATAAACTTAAGTTTTAAAACCTATTATTTTAAATTAAACTACATAAACATGAAATGTAAAATGTATTCAAATGAAAATTTAAAATTAAAATCAAACATATAAAACATTCTCAAGCATGTAAGACCCACAATCTCTTTTTTTTTTTTCCTCAATTACATTACTTCAAGTAGCTAATGTATCCACATTTGCAAATAGGCACAAGGCACATCAGGTGCACCAGGCGCATGCCTTTTGAAAGTGCTGTGCCTAGGACTTAGGCGAGGTGCATACCCTAAAATGCGCCTTGCCTGTGCGCTTCAGGTGCGCCTTTTAAATCACCAAGCAACGGAAAGATTCACCACAAGATAGGCTGATTGATGATGTAAGTGCTTAAGAAGCTAATCTTATTGATGATTTAACAAAGAAGGTTATGGAAGGCAGTATTTTGGACATACATTGCTCTCAACTTTTTACACTCACGTTCTTTAAAACTCGAGGATGAGTTTTTGTTTTTGAACTAGGGGAGAATAATGCAAGAGATGAAGAATCAAATTTGGAATTTTCTGAAATTTTATGTATTTCTGTATGTTTGGACAGTATGGGTATTTTTGTCATTTTGACCAGTCCAATTTGTGTCAACTTATTCCAGCCCTGCTACATCACCCATATCCGAATTCGACCAGTTAAAGAAATGAATCACGTAGTACATTTGAATTCAATTTGTTTATAACTGGTGAATATTCTAATCTGTTCTAATTGAATTGGATTAGATCAAAATACAATTCATTTACATTCCTAGTCTGTGGCTTGTAGTGAGATTGTTTAGGTATGGGGTTTTCTTCCAAGAATTGGTATCCCCATCTCCCAACCTATGCCTTCTTATGCAAACAACCCAAGTGTCATACATATTGCTTCTAATCCAATTTTTACAAGTACATCAAACAATTGAGGTTTATTACCACTATTATTAGGGACCAAGTTCTTGCAGGCATCATATCACTTCCTCATGTATCATGTCTGCATCAACTTGTTGACATCTTCACAAAGCCACCACTAGAGCTTCTCGCAATTAGTTTCTTGTTGGAAAATTGATGTTATCCCTACTCCAATTTGAGGGGTAGTATAGAAATGTATGCATCTTATTATTCCCTCTTGCATCTCCTTGTATCTTATTATAGTAAAATAGTGCCTATTGTATCATATCACTTGTATGTATCCCAGGTGCATTTTTTGTATTTTATAAGTTGCCCTCATAATAAATCTTTTCCTTTGGGGAGAGCATATTAATTTGAATTCATTCCTTAAGCTTTCTTGTTTACTCATGATGGACATGGGAAAACATTTGGAGTCTTGATCTCCTATGATGACAATTGGCACCCAATTTTTTCCAGGACCGAAGCAGTAAACACCTGGCTGGTCTCATAAATTTGACTAAAACACATGTAGAAATCAAGAAAATGGTTTTTGCCAAAGAATTTTGCAAAATTACTTTATTTCTTCACTTTCTTTGACCATCTTGCACTACTTTCAACATAACTTTAGATGGAAAATGTTTTTTTTTTAAATCATGTGTATTTAAAAAAGTTGCTTTTGAGACCATCAAAATTAGTATGCCCATATCCGATTCCAAATGATAAACTAAAATGGGGTTTTCAGATTTTTTTTCTCATGTTTTTCTTCAACTTCAAGCACCTTTTTGTCCCCTTTTCATAATATGGCACATTGTCATTGAAAAGTTCTTCAAATGAACTTTTAGATGAACCCAAGATCATCCAAATCTGATATTTCTATTTAATCCCTGCAACAGTCCAAACCCAACTGTTTGGAAACTAGATTAGGAAGAGAGGATTGAGTATTATTACACTGATACACATCTTTTAATTAAGAAAAAAAAATTAACATAGAAGAACTGATAACCAGGATCCTTTTCAGCTACTTCGGTTATGACCCTATGTTTGAACTGTAGGGATTGCATTGTTTAAGTAAAACCGTGTTAACTTTGTTTCTATTTGCAGGAACTGGGAACAGATATGAACCTTTATGCATTGGTCTTTGGAGAGTCTGTATTAAACGATGCAGTATGTATTTTTGGTTTGCCTCTATGCATTTGTTTTTTTCTGCTAATGTTGTTCACCAACTAACATTAATGTATTATGGAATATTTCTTTCTTGTATGTTGGAAAATTCGAAGATGGCAATTTCCTTGTACAGGTTTGTCATGAATTGCATTGGTGTTAGCAATTGGGATATGAGTGGATTCTTCTGAAGTTCCTGATATAATTTAAGCACTACATATCCATGCAGGACAATGTCATCAGTCAAAAGTCACGTGTCATCTAGGCAAAACTTTTTTCTGGTTATACTGCGGTTTCTCGAGACCTTTGTTGGCTCTATGTCTTCAGGTTAATAATCCTTTTTCTTGTCTCAACTGTCCCTCTCATTGTGTACATATAAATATACATATTTGATTGCCTGTTATGTGCATTACTGAGCACCATAGAATAGGGTTGTATTTGTAATGATACAAACTCCAAATGCTACTAAAAATTCTTATATTTGTTTGAACTGGAATTAGATTCTCATGTAAGAAAGCCATACTTTTTATGATAAATTCAGGAAAACAGTGTTGCCTATCGTGCTCACAAAAATTTAATTGGGTAGAGGACTGGGAGTGGAGGGTAGAGTTAAGTTCGTGAGTGCAGCCAAGTGGAGACAAGAGTTCAGGGTAGAAGCAAAAACCTTTCTCTTTGAAGAATACAGAAATGAGGGTCAAGCTTTGTTGAAGATCAGGGAGGACAGGAGGGTGACTATTTTCTTGGTCAGTGAAGCTATACAGTGGGTGAAAGGCTTTATAGATGGGGCAACTTATTCTGTGGGAATGCAAGGGTGAGACGTTCACTGTGTAGTTCAAATAGGAAATACGAGGTGGAGCTATGGTGGAACAAAAAAGGGTTGTTTATTACAGTGGCAGCATATTTTAGTGGTGGTAAAAAACAACTGGTTTGCATACTGAAAGGGAAGGATTGCAGTGGGTGGAAAATGGTCTTAGAAAGTATGCAACACTACCTGATTGAGAAAGGAATGTTGGAGGAGAAGCCCAACGAAGTGGTAGCCGCTGGTTTTTGCTCTCAGGGATTGGAGAAGATTCCAGTCTCTGTTGATGATGTGTCCGGCTTCAGTGAAGGAGAGAGGGAGGAGCAGGAGGCGCTAACCATTGTTAGCTCCTAAAAAATTATAAAATTCTCGATGGAGGTGGAAAAAGATTTTTGGGAGAGAAGGCACATGGTGACTGCAAAACAAAAAGTGAAGGACTGGAATGGTCTGTTGGAATCAGTAAGGGGTGAGCTTTGGATCCAAAACACAGTTGCTTCATTACCATTCAGTGAAAATATAGCAATTGTTGACATCGCTGAAGAGGTGATTGGGGTCTCATTGGTTAAAACAGGGGAAGAAATGGTGTTGATTGAGAAATGGACGATGTTCTGCAATGAAACTGAGTTAAATGAGCCGTGCACTGTTGTGAAAATGGTGGGTTTGCCATTTAACCTTTGGAAGGATGAAATATTAATTCAAACCGTAACAGCTCTGGGCGGAACCTTAGATGATTACAGCTTTGAAAACTTGTTCACAGTGAGGGTTAAGGTGCTAGGTCTGAAGCCAGAAAGTGTACCTCGCTCCTGTGACATGCTTTTAGAGGGCCAATGGAGGAAGATATGGTTAGTGATGGGAGCCGAAGCGTCGCTCTGGAGAGGGTGTTGAAAGCTTGAAGAAGAAGCTGAGGTGGAAAGGTGGTTCCCAAGTAGCGGCAAAAGAATGGGTGTGGAGGAGAGAGGGAAGAAAAGAATTTCAATGGAAGATGAACAGTCTAATGTGGTTGACCAAAATGCGGAATTAACAAAAAAGGACAGTTTTTCAAATGATTTTAAAAGAAAAGAAAGAAGGCAGTCCTTAACTCCTACATGGAGGTAGTGTAACTTGGTGCACAATCTGAATTGGGGGGGGGATTAAAGGGCCCATCGAAAATCCACCGGATGGCTCTATTTGAACGGGGCCGAGATCAGGCTGAGAAGGGGGCGGTGTTTGTATGTCAATTTGTGGCTCATGTGACTATCTAAAAAGTCAGGTGAGCTGCTGGGGTAAAGGTGAGTTTAGGGATGATAGTTTATGTCTATCATTGTCCTCCTTGCAAGCTGTTTAGCCATTTGAAGGCAAATCTGGTTCAAGAGAGCCGCTGCAGTGGTCTGCAAGGGAATTAGAAGAAGTAAAGGGTCTCGGTAGAACTCTAGAGGATCGCCCTAATTCAAGATACACTAGGACAAGGTCGGAGGAGAACGAGCTAGAGAATGGAGGGTGAGAAGACTATATCAGATGATGAAAATTCTAGGTCAGTCAGATTCTTCAATTGGCAGTCTAGAAACAAAGAAAARGGAAGAGGATTTGGAAGAAATCTACAATCTTGCTGACTTGTTTGATGGTGGAATAATCGAAAAGATAACAATCATTGCTCGAAGTTCAGTGATAGGTGGGAATGGGTTGATGGAGGTGGAGGATGGCATGGTTCAGGGGGGGGGGGAAGAACATCTTATGCCAGATTGAGAAGAATCCTTACCTGATAGGTGGAAGTAGAAGGTCATTGGAGGCTTGATGAAAGTCACCAGAAAGGGCAGAGCTACAACACATTTGAAGGAGCTCGAAAGGTGTATTCTCTAATGGGAACTGCTTACAACAAACCCACCCTAGGAAAGACCTAAACCCATTGATGCAGGACCTTTGTGATTGAGCATTATTTTTGCAACCAACAAAGAACTAATAGAAAAAGAAGAGAAAAGAAGAGAAGAGATGGAATCAGTTGGGCCTTCTCACAATCTTGGGGATCTTCTGGAGGAATCATTACAATTTGGAAAAATGATAATTTTGAGTGTATGGAAGAACTGATAGGAAACTTTTCAGTCTSAATCAAACTAAAAAGAAAGACAGATGGCTTTGCTTGGGTTCTAACCAATGTCTATGGGCCGAATTCTTACAGGGAGAGAGAAGTGTTTTGGGAGGAATTGGCAGCAATTAGGGGTCTATGGGAGGGCCCTTKGTGTTTGGGGGGTGATTTCAATGTGATTAGGTTCCTTGAGGAATCAAATAACCCTAGCCATAGGATTACTTCCAGTATGAGAAAATTCAACCTTTTTGTAGATACAAATGATTTGAGAGAGCTGCCCCTTCTTCAGGCAAAGTTCACGTGGTCCAATTTTCAAGAGACACCTATTTGTTGCAAGCTAGACAGATTTCTCTTTACTTTAGACTGGGAGGAAGGGTGGCGGAGCCTAGCGGTTAGGGCCTTGCCTAGAACTACATCGGATCATTGTCCTATCAGTATCTCTGAAGAAAGAGTGGGAGGAGGGCCTTGCCCTTTTATGTTTGAGAACATGTGGCTACTACATCTGGATTTCAAATCAAAAGTGAAAGAATGGTGGGAAGAAGACCAAGTGGAGTTTAGATGGAAGGGCTTCAGATTTTACAAAAAACTGCAAAGGTTGAAAGGCATGATTAAAGAGTGGAATAAGGAAGTATTTGGGTCACTGGAGGAAAGAAAAGCGCACATCTCACATAGAATGGAGGAAATAGATGAGCTGGAAGGGGAAAGGACAATTAGAGAGGAAGAGAAATTTGAGAGATGGAGTCTAACAGATGAGCTGGAAGAGATTATGAGGAAGGGGAGATTTGTTGGAGACAAAAATCTAGATGTTGGTGGTTAAAGGAAGGTGATGGCAATACAAGTTTTTTCCACGTACTAGCAAATGGGAGAAAAAGAAGAAATTCTATTGTTTACCTAGTGTTGAATGGGCAAACGCTAACTAGGGAGGAGGATATAGCACAAGCTTTTGTGGACCACTTTAAAGGTATTTTTGCTAGTCAGGGAGGTTTCAGTGAGCCACTCAAAAATTTTGACTGGAGAAGAGGTCCTAGGGTGTTGATGGAATCACTGGAGAAAGTTTTTGAAGTCCAAGAAATAAAGGAAGCAATATTCTCTTTGGAAAGAGATCCAAAGCCCCGGGCCCAGATGGATTTACGATGGCTTTCTTTCAAGATTGCTGGGAAATTGTGGGTGCTGATTTGGTGGAAGTTTTGCTGAATTCTTTGAAAGGGGAAAATTTAACTCAGGGGCAAATGCCACATTTATCACTTTGATCCCTAAGACCTTAGATGCTTCCCACCCAAAAGATTTTAGACTCATAAGCCTTGTGGGCAGCATGTATAAAGTTGTCTCCAAGGTGCTAGCTGAGAGGATTAAAAAAGTTCTTCCTTCTTTAACCTCTCCAAATCAAGGGGCTTTTGTGTTTGAAAGACAAATAATAGACCAAATCCTTATTGCAAATGAGTGTGTGGAGTTTAAAAAAYGGAGAAAGGAAAAAGGGATAGGGTGCAAGTTAGACCTGGAGAAAGCTTATGACTTGGTGGCTTGGGATTTCCTTCTAGAAGTGTTAAGATGGAGAGGTTTTGGAGCGAGATGGTGCAAATGGATAAAGGGCTGTATTTCTTCCTGTCACCATTCCATTTTGGTTAATAGAGTTGCCAGAGATTTCTTTCCAGCTAAGAGGGGCCTTTGACAAGGAGATCCCCTTTCCCCTTTCCTCTTTACTCTAATAGCAGATGTGTTTAGCGAGTTGATTTCAAGGGCTGATGCCAACAATTTGATACGAGGATGGAGAATTGGGGGGAATAATGTGGTGGTTACCCATTTACAATTTGTAGATGATATTCTAATCTTTTGCGAAGGGGAAAGGGAGGAAGTGACAAATCTACAAAGGATGGTAACCCATTTTGGAAAGATCTCCAACCTCAAAGTAAACTGGAGTAAAAGTTGTGTAGCAGGGTTAAATAAGGAGAGAGGAGAGGTTGAAATCCTAGCTAGTTTGTTAGGTTGTGAGGTAGGTGATTGGCCTTTACAGTACCTTGGCCTACCCTTGGGAGGGAACCCGTTTTCTATGAGCTTTTGGGATATGATAGTGGAAAGATTCACAAAAAGGCTTGCTGGCTGGAAGAGAAACTACATCTCTCTCGGGGGTAGAATAACTCTAATAAAGTCAACCTTGACTACTTTGCCAGTCTTTTATCTCTCAACCTTTAAGATCCCCTTAAAGGTGGCCAATAAACTAGAGAAACTGATGAGAGATTTTTTGTGGGAGCCGGGGGATACAAAAAAGGATCATTTGGTAAAGTGGGAGGTGGTATCAAGAAGTAGGGATAGTGGAGGCCTAGGGATAGGAAACATCAAACTTAGGAACTTGGCACTGTTGGGTAAAATGGCTGTGGAGGTTTGCTTTGGAACAAGAGAACTTATGGCATAAAGTAATTACAAGCATTCATGGCATGGCAGACAACGGATGGGACACTGGTCTTGATCCTAGGGCAACAAGGGCTTCTCCATAGAAAGAAATTCACAGTTTGCTACCTTCTTTCCTTCCGCTAGTCAGGTATGATGCTTGTATGGGTAACAAAGTACGTTTCTGGGAGGATATCTGGCTTGGGGATATTCCTCTCAAAGACAAATTTCCACCTATCTATTCTTTGTCCCTCAACAAAGGGAGAGTGATTTCTTCAGTGCTTGTTAATGAAAAGTCTTGAGATCTAGGATTAAGGGATTTTGAAATGGGCTTAGTAGATGAACTTATCTCCCTTCTTAATACTGCATTCCTGGACCCCTCTTGTCAGGACAATAGGATCTGGTCAGAGTCCCCTTTTGGCTCCTTTACCTGTGCATCTTTCTTCTCCGCTCTCCTTCAATCCTCGCACCCAAGAGTTTCCTTTCCTGCAAAGGAAGTCTGGTGTAACCCTGTACCCCAAAAAATAAAAGCCTTTTGCTGGGAGGTGGTGCTCCAGAAAATTAATACTTTGGACAATTTACAAAAAAGGAGGCCGATTCATTGCCTCTTCCCTCATGTTTGTTGCCTCTGTCTGGGAAATGGTGAGACAGTAACACATCTTTTACTTTCTTGTCCCTTTGCTTCTTGTGTGTGGAGTTGGTTTTCTTCCTTATTTGGCTGCAGGTGGACCCCTCTCCCGGATGTGATAAGTCTTTTCAACCCAAGTTTCTTCCTACTATCAAAGAAAAGGGGAAGAGTGATGTGGAGGGCAACAAGAGCAGCCATTCTTTGGTCTCTATGGGAAGAAAGGAATAACAGAATATTCCAAGRGGCACAAAGATCAATAGAACAAGTCATTGATCTTGTAGCCATTAATGTCATACACTGGCTGAAAGTAAGTGACATTTAAAGATTTTTCAGTGGATGATATACGAAGGGGTTGGTCAGTAGTGGCAAACTCTTCAACTAGACAGCCTATTCCTCAGCCTTCTTGGATACTGGCAACACACCAAAGGGTAAAGTTAAATTTTGATGGAAGTTCCATGGGTAATCCAGGACCCTCGGGAGCTGGGGGAGTCTTTAGGGATGGGGAGGGCAGAATGGTGGCGCTATACTCTGGTCCCATAGGAGTGGGAGACTCTATGAGAGCTGAAATTTTGGCTCTCCTACATGGCCTAAGATTTGCCAAGCAATGGGAATTTCAGAACTTGGAGGTGGAAGGGGATTCTAAATTGTTGATAGGGTGGCTGAAAACAAAGAGTTTGGGTGTATGGAAGTATAGACAGCAAATAAGGGAAATAATTTGCTTGGCAAGGGAAGTTGGAGTAACATTCAAATGGGTAAGGAGATCAGCAAACTTTGTGGCAGATAGCTTGGCAAAACAGGGACAGTCAGGGCAAACTTTTTTTGGGCTGTTCTGTAATTCTTGATGTTATGTTGGGGTCAACACTCTTTTGTCTGAGTGGTTGACAGTGTAAGATGTTTATTTGATATCCTTAATGAAAGTTACCATTTCCAATCAAAAAAAAAAAAAAGAGATGGAAATAAAATGAAAACCCCTAGGCAATCGCACCTAAGAGTGAGGGCAATCACACTCCCAACTTGGCAACCACACGAAATTCTGTAGAGAAACTTTCTTATTCATTAGAAAAAACTGTTTTCCAAATTAGCCTTACAAGCTTAATAAGAAGCAGCTTCTAAAGGAAGAAACTTGCCCCCCTAAGTTAGCTTGTCCAACAAGCCACTTCCAAAAAGAAGCTAAATTCGACTAAACCTGCTCCAAACAATTGCAAACATAAAGCCAAACAAAGGGATATTACTAGACTAAGACCTGTTCCCAAACATACCTCCCAAAACATGCAAAATTACAAAAATACCCTTGTTGTCTAGAAACGTAAGAAAACCATATAAGTCCTGTCYTGCAGCAAGCTTAACCACACAAAGAGCATCTTAAGGTGGATTGCAGACTCTAGGGTCTTCCCAAGTTGATCCACTACTAACCCAGCTCCCTTGTGGGCCCCACGCCTTTGTAATGATGCCAAATGAGTATAGGAGCAGCTTTGGTTCTCTTTTGATATGCCTTAAGTTGATGCCAAATGAGCTTTGGTTCTCTTTTGGATAAATTAAAGAGGAAGGAGATGGAGAAAGAGACATTTACTGACCCTAGAAGCAGTACGGAGGACCTGGTTCCTATTGTGAGAAAAGAGGCAGAAGATGGGTGTAGAAAAGAYGAGGAAGACTCAATTGAGGAATTTGTGGGAAGTTTGGGTGCAAACTGAAGGATCCAAATTCATTGAAAGCATTTATTAGGAAACAGAGTACTGGCAAGAAAACTAGGAAAAAGAAATTGAGTGAAACTGAGAGACTAAAATTAGATGTGGAGTGTGATAAGCAGTTCAGTGAGAGGATGRGTAGGAAAAGAGGGGGCAAGTAAAGGGTTATAGAACCTATAGGTGTGAAATGTAGTTAATCATGTTGAATGTTTGAGGGTAAGGGAGTGCAAGAAAGAGAGCTTTAATAAAAGAGTTGTTGAGGAAAGAGAATCTAGACATAGTTCTTATCGAAGAATCTAAGTTGTTAGAGTTTGATGCTCGATGGGCTAGGGGGGTATTAGTTGGACCATGACTCCATCTTGGGGGTCCTTGGGAGGAATTGTGATCCTATGGAAGAAGGATATAGGGGGGTATTAGTTGGACCATGAATTGGTGGGGAAGTTCACAGTCTCAGTCAAGTTTTGTCAAGTAAATTATGGGTTTCAGTGGGTTTTGACAAACATTGACAGTCCCAATGGTTATAGGGAAAGAGATGATTTGTGTGATGCATAGTTTTCAAGGCGCCAAGGTGAGGCTAGGTGACAGGGGGGCGCCTTGTGGCCTAGTCACCTAGGTGTTGGATTTTTTTTTCATGTAAAAACCACATATCCTAGGTTTCATAATCATCTTTCTTTAATAACTATCTATAATTTATGAAAATTATAAAGAAGTAGAAATGTTTTAAGTTCAGATTTTGAAGTCATTGAGTGTTCAATACAGCAGTTAGCAATGCTTGTGTTGATTAATCCCTAACAAATAAGAAAATAATAAAAAGAAATTAGTTTATAAGCACAAAATGAAAATTTTTRTTTAGCAATGTTTGTTTTATAATTATAATCTCAAAAAAAAAAATAATATAAAAGTATTTTATTACACATTATACAAAACTGCTTGGCGATTGGGCGAGGCGAGCCTCCAAGGGTGCCTTGTTGCCTAGGCGTCACCTTCACAACTATGGTGGGATGGATTGGTAGACATGTGGGGTTTGTGGGAAGGACCTTGTTGTATTGACGGGGACTTTAATATGATAAGATTTGTTGTGGAAACAAATAAGATGAGGCAAAGAGTTACCACCAGTATAAGGAATTTCAATGCATTAATAAATTCTTTTGAGCTGAAGGATTTACCACTCTAGGGTAACAGTTTCACGTAGTCCAATTTGCAATCTGAACTGATCTGCTCCAAGATTGATAGATTCTTATTTACTGTGCTGGGGGAGTTAAGAGAGTTTATCTGCCCCCGCCTTTGTAATTATAATTATTTTTATTATTTAATGAAATGCTTCTGTTATTGATAAAAAAATTTGTTTCCTATCAAAAAAATTGAGGAAAATATTGTTTGATAAGCAAAACTTATAGAAACAAAGATGGTGAGAGAAAACCCACAACAAAAACAAAAGAGGCTCCTAATTTGAGAATATTACAAAATATACCCWAAATTTCATTTTCCAATATACCTGTCCAGATCACCAAACTCAGTATGTTAACCAATTCAGAATCAAATGACTAATATCAATACAGTGGTTTTTGAAATTCCTGCTCTCATTCAAAGATTTATTTATTTTGTCCTATACAAATCCCTCAATAAACTGCAAAAGATATGATGCTCCCAATGATCTTTGCCTTGCAACCGCCACCAATTGCCAGCCAAGAGAGATCTGATAGAGAATAGATGGATCATGTGAAACTGCAGATAAGCACTGAAAAACAGGTGGTCAACATTGTCATTGTTGTCACTGCRCATTCCACAACTGCTAATCATGTGGAAATSTCTACCCCTGAACACGACATACATTTGTAGCCTAAAGATTTAATTCTTAGTTTTGTTAAGTATTTTTTGGTAATAAATAAAAAATAAAATTTATCAATAGAAAAGAAGGTACAACCGAGGGTGTGATGAGAGATCATCAGAAATACAACACAGTACAAAAAGTAGGCAATCAAAGAAAAAAAAGACAAAACTAAAGCGCCATTAAGAGGACAAAGCTTTTTTAAGCCAACTCAGGAATGCTCCAAAATCCMGCACCAAGATCTTCTTTTGTGACCCTTTCAAACTCTGGAAGAATGAGAACCCAATACATGATCCTTTTACCACAAAGAAGAGTGATATGATCCCTTGATCGAACTTCTTCTYAGAGGATTCTCCTATTTTCTTTCTTTCCAAGCGATCTTTGCTTTGATGTTTCCCCTAACTCCTGGCCACCTAGAGAATAGCTCTTCTTCTGAACAAGGGTCCATCCAACTAGCCTTTAAGAGTCCAAAGGAAAAGCCCCAGATTATTTATCAACTTTTCTTAAGTATGCATAATTAATTTTGTCAACTTTTGTCATTGTAAACTTCTCTTGATGGATTCATCTGCCACACTTAAAAAAATGTCCTTTTATTTCTGGAGATGTTTTTTATATTTTATTTTCTTCTTTCTTTGGTCTTTCAATGGAGCATATGCTTGCAGGGGTTGGAGTTGGATTTACTTCTGCTTTGATATCCTTTTTGATTTTATACTGCTCATTGGCATATCCAGCCCATAAATTTTGGTGGCTAGAATATCTTGCAGACCTTAACCAGATAAAACCTTTTCAAGTATGCAGGCCTGGATATTGATAAGTAAGTATTGCAAATTATTATATATGGCCAGTTTGTTGGTTTCAAAACTGCTCTTCCTGAAGATGTTTTATATTTTCCTTCTGTGTCCAGTCTGCAGAACTTGGAGTGTTGTTTGTTTGTTCTCTTTCCTTATTTCTCGTAAGCACTCTCTCTCTCTCTCTCATTTTTTGAAGCTCTGTTTTGTTAAACTTGTAGAATCATGAGTCTAATTATAATACCATGTTATGTCTAGGTACATGCTAGCTGAAGGTCTTGGCCTTTCTGGCATCGTGTCAATATTGTTCACAGGAATTGTGAGTGGAATTTTTTAGTGTTCTGACAGTAATCAACTTAGCTTTGGTTGAAGCAGTAATAAAGCATCACCTCTGGTGCTTATTTTCAGGTTATGAAGCACTACACATTCTCAAATTTATCAGAAAATTCTCAACAATTTGTTGCTGCCTTTTTCCATTTGATATCTTCATTAGCAGAAACTTTTGTGTAAGGAAGCATGGCAGTTTGATGGTTGCTCAATTTCTGTCAGGTGTTGGGAATTGTTTCTTGACATGATCATTTCTATTTTGGTGTTGACATTCTGCAGATTTATATACATGGGCTTTGATATAGCCATGGAGCAGCATAGCTGGTCACATGTTGGATTCATTTTTTTCTCAATTGTATCCTTTCGACTATGGTATTGGATTGTCCATTGGTTAAGCTGCTTATAGTTTTCCTTAACTTTGCACCTTCATAATTGCCCCAGTTATTTATCGGAGTTGCAAGGTATGCATTAAAAACTTTCATGCTTGAAAGCACCTTTTTATTATCTATCACTAATCTGATATACCTTTTATTCACACGCCATTTGAGTTGAGTTTCATATGTAACCTGAGTGTCTACAAGTTTATTTCAAGTAATATGTTCTTTTAATGCATTTAGAAAACTTATGATTATTTTTATCTGAAACAGAACCAATTTTATTAAAATGGAACAAAATGTATACACATCATACACTGCCCTTAGTAGGAGAACCAAAAWCCAAGCCTCAAATCAGGCACAATACACAGCATTTGGCCTGGAACTGATAGTCAATCATGGCAGAAAGTAGGGGTGCAAGTCAGGTACACATTGTGAAGAATTTACACAGCGTTTGGCCTGGAGCCATCCAAATTTTATAAGTCCTCAACCCAAGCCCACTTAAGTTGCGCTCTAGCAGAAAGGCTTATCCCCAGAGAAAAAAGAATCAGATCTGTAATTGCCACTTCTTGCAAGGTTATCAGCCAATGACTTAGCTGATCTTGGATTGCTTTTGAACTAGATGTTCACTCCAGACACAATGGATCCATCCTCAGGAATATAGCGATGCAACTAAGGTCCTTCATGTTAGATCTTAGGGTGACTCTCTTATCTTAGGGTGGTACCATTTCTGTTCGAGTGAAGGACTTAAGCTTATCCCCAGGTTAGTGGGGATTTAGTGTGGGGAAGGGCTGGTTTGGAAATAGATGATTTGCATTCTTGTGATGGCATGCTGTCGTCAGAAATGGTGACCTTTGGCTGGAGTGAGAAGAGAGACAATGGGAATCTTTGTTTGGCCTGGCAGTCAACATATGGTAAATTGGTAACAGAGRTGCCAGATCAAATAAGGGGTAGGRAGGTACATAAGGGAGAAAGAGAGTCTAAGTGCTTAGTGCTAACAAATATGGAAACTAATTTGAGTAAGTGAAGTGATCTACTTTCCCTTCTTTGTGACGTAACAACTGTGAGGCAAGATGTCAGGAGGCTGTTAAGAAAAGTATGAATATGGAAGGTATGGCAATTGGGATTTTTTGATGGGAGTCATGAGGAAGTGTGGCTTTGGGAGATGCAYTTGAACTTACTATTATTCAGTACTTGTGAATGGGAAAGTTAAAAACTTTTTTGAGGTTGACAGGGGATTGAGACAAGGAGATCCATTATCTCCCTTTCTTTTCACTCATTGTTAATGTCTTGAGTAGACCAATCTCAAGAGCAGATAGATTGCAGGTAGTTAAAGGGTGGAGGATAGGGAGAGTCTTGGTGACAGTGGCTTACTTGTAGTTTGCAGATGACATCATAATCTTCTATGATGGGTAGATTGATGAATGGATAAGGAACTTGAAGCTAGTGATTAGATTCTGAGACAATGCCCAATTTAAGGGTAAATACAAACAAAAGTGTGGTACTAGTAATAAATTTGGAGGGGGAGGAGCTAGGATTTGTTGTAGATATTGTGGGGTGTGAAGGTAGTGAGTGGCCAATGAAGTATTGAATCGAGAGTATTTGGAACCCTGTTGTGGGAAAAAAGTGAAAAGAAGTTGGCAGCGTGGAAGAGGAATTACAGATCTTTAGGTGAATTCCTCTTCATCATGAGATAGTTTCACATTGAGTTTCATTGGAGTATCAACCTGCTTCGAGTCAGTGAGGTGAGCTAGCTGAATTAGGTCTGTAGTATATTTTCTTTGTTTCAAAAAATGATCTCTTATAGATGACTGCACCTCTAGGCCTAGAAAATAAGTCATAGTACTAAGATCTTTCTACTTGATGGAACATTGTAGAAATAATTTGAGTTGTTGGATCCCTTCAAGGTCATCACTTGTGATAAGGATCAGCAAAATGATGAGACCACGATCGCCATAAGAAATGAGGAGAGATGAATTATAGTTATTTTGGTGATAACCAACTTCCGTATGAGCACAAGGGAAGTGCTTAAACCAGTCAGAAGGAGCTTGCTTCAAACCATTGAGGGACTTCTTGAGGCAACACACTAAGTGTTGAGGGACTTCTTGAGGCAACACACTAAGTGTTGATCGGTATAGTACCTAGGTGGGGGTTTTGTGTAAATAGTTTCCTTTAGATTACCATGAAGAAATGCATTGGTAAATCCATTTGAGAAGCAGAACAGCCACGAAGAGCAAATAATGCAAGAATCAGACAAATAGTTGTCATTTCGACAATTGGAGCAAAGGTTTCCTCGTAATCAATTCTATACTCTTGTGCATAAACTTGGTCAATAATATGAGCTTGTTTCTATAAATGCTACCATCAGATTTTAATTTTAACAGAGAATACCCGTTTACTACTAACATTTGTAGCATCCAAAGGAAGAGTCACCATATATTTTTTTTTTGATCAATAACACTTTCATTAGTTCATCAGTAGAAAATTTACAAGTGGAAGACAAACACACTTATCTTCCAAGAGTCACAAAGAACTTCAAGAAAGGAAAGAAGAAAATACAAAGATACAAGGACACTAACATTACAACTTAGCCCAAAACAAGGAATCCCTTTCTGCCCCTTGTTTTG